ATTATTTAAAATACTGGTAGTCACGTGAGTTCTACCCAGGTAAACATTCCTCAAAGATGCTCACTGTAAAACATAACCACGTTTTGTATCATTATATCGAAGTCAAGCCGCATAGAGAAGTTTGTATGTATTTGGTTTTAGGAACACGGGATGGTTAGGAGAGTTTAGTGTCGTTAAAATGTCATCATAAATAAAAGTGTCAAACATTTTTAACATTCATGCAAGACAATGGTACTGGTATTGAAAGCCACCTAAATACACTTTTTTTCATTTTAAAATTTAAAGGAACTAATGTTAATAGTTATTGTATTATTTCAAACGCAAGCATGCAAATTTCTTAGTTTGATCACTATGGATACAGGTATCTATACAACTTCATTCGATTTTTTTCTCGGGTAAAATAGCACAAGAAGTATCATTCGGCAAAAGTGGATGCTCTTGTGTATCCAATCAACTGAGAGATATAAACCCCGTATGCAGGTGATGAAGGTATATTGCTGAATAAGTAAGGGAAGTTGACGATTGAAAAGTTAAAGTCATCACGTTTATCATAAAGCTTGGTTGTTAGATTACCATTAATGTAGAACTAAAGCAATACATGAGAAACAAGAAACTACACACATGTGACCTAAAGTCAGTGACCGGAACATATATCGGTAAGCTTTTTCTAAAGACTGAAACCAATATTGGTCCTATAGGTCATCTCATATTTTTAACTAGAAGTGTTCCTTTGATATACTATATTTTACTTAATTTCTATAGACTTACTATACCCTGAAAAAAAAGAAGGAAAACAGGAACTACCTATTTAAATGACCCCGACCACCGAGGTTAATCTAAAGTTTGTCCCTGCCTACCTGAAAAACAGACTGCCTCGGGCAGTCAGTAATTTCCAACTCTGGTTATGAGATGCTAAATGTTTAATATTTACAATTAAATGCTTATATTTACATTTTTAAATTCATGATCGATTGAGAAAGTCGATAAAATCATTTCTATATTAAGTCTGTATACTGTATAGGGGGAAAATAACTCGCGGTGTTAATATTCGCTATATTCACGGTGTGAATAAATCCGTGAATTCAAGAAACAGTGAATAAGTTTTCAATAACCTACATGTTATATTTGGAAATTTGAGAATAGACTACGATAGGTAAATATACGTGCAGTGCATGGTCATTTCAGTAATTACGAATTGTACTTGTCATTCAATTATTTTAATTAAAATGCTTGACATTAATTTAGATCACCCAGCAGATAATAACCTGTATTTGTTTAAAAAAAAAACTGTTTTAATAGCCAACGCTACATGTTTCATCAATCAAAACACTAGGGTCATGGGTTTTGAATACCCGTACGTAACTATGTTACGACGTGTATTTGTTACCTGCATTATCATGTTTTTATCGACATTTTGGTTTTAAAAAATCATTCAAATAACTATTGAACTTGCTGATGTATATATAAATCTACCCTGTTGTTCGTGAAGTGAATACATAACGCTGATTAATGCCTTCTAGCTATGCTATGGATTAAACGGATATAGACATTGAAGGGAGTTACATGTAACCTTAGTTATATACCGATTCCGCGAATTCAACAAACCGCGATCGTGTCAGAGGAGAGAAAAACATGAAAATTACAACCCCTGAAATTAATCCCCTATACAGTACTTCAACCGAGAAATTAGTTGAAACTGGTTCCAGAAATGAAGCTGAAAATGTTCAATAGTTTACAGACAATACTTGACACATGATGACTGAACAAGAACAGATAGCAATAAGTAATTTAAATGACTCAGGTGAATTATAACCTGTTCAATCTTAGATCCATCTTTTTTCTAATACGAGGGTTGATCCAAAAGTTCATGGAATTTAATTATTTCTAAAATTTTATTGTGATTTGATGAAAGCAAACAATAGGCATATTTATAATATAGAGTCATTATGCAACAATACTGGAAAATTTCACCACGTTCCAATTACCAATAAGGTCACATGAGCTTTCTGAACACTGATAGTTGTAAAATCCGGGGGAGACTTCGACGTAACGTCAAGTTAAGTATGTCATGTCATGTTATAGGAGCATCTCACCCTCATGTTCAATTCAACTAAGTAATTCTACAGAATATTCTGCCTTTTTCTCTTTTTTTCTCTCAAGAAAAGCCTGGGTATCCACCAATCGACTTATCTTTATATTACACTCATATTTCAAAAATACTCCCCATCTTTCCATATGACGTTCCAATTTCAGTAGCAAAGTCAAGCACAGTACGTCAGTGGTCAACATCCATCAACGCTTGATTTGTCTACGAGAAAAACAGACCCTCCAAAAGCAGCCACACCTTTAATCAACCTCCATGGAAGTTCTGTTGTTCTTAAATTTCTCACGCCACTGGAAAATCAGTTGCTAAATGCATTTTTCTCCAGCCTGTATCAGTAGTATACCCCTTTAAGTCAGAGTGTTCCTAAGATTTTAACAAAACTTATAACTTGACTGAAATGTGACGTTCTCTAACAATTAAAAGATGAACAAGAAATCATCAACTAATAATCTATATATCAAGTTAAATCAGTAAAACTCTCACAGACAGGTATATTAGTGGTCAAGCAATCGTAATAATGACAAAATTCTCATTTTATTTGCCACTTAGCGCATGTTTTTTCTTATATCACGTATTAAGAATTAAAATGATAATGAACGAGTAAATGTCTCCCCTGCATTTTAAAACATCCTTTGCTATGGCAACTGCCATAGAGTTACTATCATTAATATTTAAAATATTTTTTTATTAAAAAAATTCAACAAGTGTCTATATTTTTATTTGTAATTTTCAACCACTTTCACTAATAAATAAATAAAATAAGAAGAAATTCCATGAACTTTCGGATCAATCCTCGTACACGTCAGTCATTAAATTTATATAATATACAGTATGCATAAGGGAGACCAAATGTATTATTACTGCATTAAGGAGACCAACCACTATCCATATGTAAATCAGTATTCAACCACTTTCACTAATAAAAAAATAAAATATGAAGAAATTCCATAAGCATTTGGATCAACCCTCGTACATGTCAATCATTAAATTTATATAATATACAGTATGCATAAGGGAGACCAAATGTATTATTACTGCATTAAGGTGACCAACTACTCTCCACATGTAAATCAGTATTCAACCGCTTTCACTAATAAATAAAAAAAAATATGAAGAAATTAGTGATGAGACATCGGTTAATTTTCATAATCGATCATCGGTTGGAATTGGTTACTGCTTCTGATGCGATTTCACCGATTATAATCGGATTTCTTCATAGTTTTGTATACAAAAAGCAGACTATTACAATAATTTCATTTATTTCTTTAACATAAATATATAAAATACATAATATATTATTTTCTTTGTTGTTTTGCTTCTTTTACACTTTCTAGACCTAAAAATATTTACAGTGGACACCCAACATGGCTGCCTAGTGGCAGAAAACGAACTTCAAAAAGTTAAGGGGGGAATTGATCACTCTATATTTAAGGTAAATGTTGACTAAGTTGCATATTTTATATCTCAAATAGAAGATACAATTAATATTTTTTGAATAAAAAGAATCAGCTGATTGATCAAACCAAATAGCAAACACAGATTTGGCAGAAAAAAAATTCACCCGGGGGTAAATTGAATGGGTCGGTCGGGTTATTACAGGAAACAAAAATAATTTTTTTAGGCCCTATATATGCATCTTCAGTTCTTAATCACCTCTGCTTCGTGCTAGTTGGCTAGTATCAGATGCAGATGCCATTTTCTTTCATTAAGAAGAAATGAATTTTAAACCAGAAATGGATAATTCCGGAATGTATTGTATTAGAAGTATGTTTCCAATGATCGATTATGAAAAACTATAATCGATCATCGGAATCAGTAGCATTTTTTTGTCGACAATCGATGTTTTCTGATTATCCGTACAACACTAGAAGAAATTCCACGAACTTTTGGATCAACCCTCGTACACGTCAGTCATTAAATTTATATAATATACAGTATGCATAAGGGAGACCAAATGTATTATTACTGCATTAAGGAGACCAACAACTCTCCACATGTAAATCAGTATTCAAAACTTGAGATTTTAATACCCTAATAATTTACATGTTTAGTTACACATGTTACATGAACTAAATCTATTTACCTTTGTCATAACGCAAGAACTGTTTTACATTCAGCCAACTTTAACATTACACATGCATACAGTGTATGCCATGCATTAGGAAGACCAGATGCATTATTTCAACATTAAAGAAACCAACTACAATGGAACAATTAGACAGTATTCCAAAAAGTTCATTCCAATACCATAGTAATTTCCCTTAATTTGGTTGTATTTAGATGACTTAAATCAATTTATCTCAGCCAGAATTGGAACAAAAAAACTAATCATAAAAGTGGCCAAACACATGAACAGACAGATGGACATGATGATTCCTATGCTTATATACTCCCAAAGTTGCCAAAGTAGAGCAGATGCAGTGGTTAGAGCGTCTACTCTAGAGTTGGGGAGAAAGAAGCTGATCCTTACATCGCGAGTTTGAATCCCACTGTGGGACGTGGAGACCCGTTCTTCAGATGAGACAGAGGTATTAACCGAGGTCCCATGTCACAGTAGGTGCTGGCTCGATAAAGATCCCTCAATGCTCAATGGCCGTAAGTGCTGAGTATAGGACAAAAATTTGCAGCTTTCCACTGACAAGTGGTGGCGTCTCCATATGAGTGAAAAATTCTCAAGAGGGACGTTAAACAACAAACACTCTACACCCAAAACTTTGTTTGCAGAAGATTTTGTGATACATGCTTTACAAGTATACATATTGTTCATAAGGGAATAAAAATGCTATAATATATCATTAAGGAAAGCAACTGAAATTAAATCTGCACTTCTAATTGAACTAAACAAAATTACCCTTTGTCAGAATGTAGATTTATAAACAGGAAGGCTGTTTTTCTTCATTTTTTCCATGTCAGATTCAGGCTGTTCTTGAAAAAATTCTGGCATTCACCCTGTAAAAGTGAACAGTGCAGATAATAAAGAGCTTCTAAATAAACTGCATAATATTTAAATGATCCACTTAAAAGGGATAACAAATGCATTTAACTCCATCAAGGAGACCAACTGATATCCATATATATATATAAATCAGTACATGTATTTTAATTGTGATATTTTAATATCCTAGTAATTTACATGTTTAGTTTCATGAAATAAATCTATTTACCTTTGTCCAATGACCAATGAGCACAAGCACTGATTTTTCCTCTTTTTTCTTAACGGAATCACCAGGGCCAGTCTGCGGTCCATATGATTCTGGCATATGTACACTCTGTAAAATGCATATTTGTACCATGTATAGGCATATGAACAATATTTCTATACTACATACATGCATCATTAAACTTAATAATCTTTTTTTTCCAAAATTCATTATTCATAGTGTTTTGCTGTTAGCAAAATTCAACAAAAACTATACCGTATATATACTTGCCTATAAGGTGGTCCACCTATAAGTCAGTTGTATTTTTTGAGGTTATTTTGGAGGGATTTGCTATTGACCCGCTTATAAATTGGTACAACTTTTTGCCAGAATCAATTGACAATTTCAAATCAATGCTCTGATGTTTTAACCTGGTTTCAAAATACTAATCTTTTTATGACTCACCTATAAGCTGGACATAGAGTATATACAGTACCTGCATTATACATGCTTTAGGAAAACCAAATGCATTATTGCAATATTAAAGAGACCATTGTGGCAAATGAAATCAATGTATGAATTGTATTCAAAACTACGGGTGTACTAATTTGTCTGAAGTATATCATGATATAATGTGATACACAAAGACTTTAACAGGATATGTACATATACCCACATGCCTAAATGTAACAACAGGAATTATCGTTCCACAATAATTTATTGAAATTGCCAATATGAATAAACAAAAGCAAACTTTGTTTCGATTGTATGAACTTTAAGTTTTCTTTTTCCACTACGGTCAGATAATCTAACTATCCCCCCTGGTTGGCTACCGGGTCCTTCGTTAGACTGCCTTATCGGACATGATATTTACTGAAGATTTGATTTTTGGTACTGACTTTTATACTCTAAATAATGTCTTTAATTGTTTAATTTCTTGAGGTCAATATCACTTTGATGTGTTCAGTGTTTACTTTGATATGTAATGATGTGTATAAGCGTGTATTTTCGATAATTTAAATTTCTAGTACAGTAATCATCCCCAAGCCGCTGTTTCATTATCGTGTCATAGTATCTCTGAGAGTGCATTTTATTAACACCTCCAAATCACCTGGCCTGTGTAATTAAATTTAACTACCAAAAACAACAGCTTGGGACTAATAAGGTGTGATTATCAGCAATGGTCCCATGAAGCCTGTGCTAGACCTAACGGAAACGTTCAACAGAACGTAAAATTAGCATAATGGGATTATTGTGTACTAAGGTGTGAATTCAGTGGAGCGATAATTTGTTGGACTTCGAGATAACGCATGTGTTTATAGCACTTGGGACAGTAAATCTACTTCGAGATAAGCGAGGTATTCAAGATTACGTGTTCGAGATACCGGGGGTTTTTTTAAATCATAAATATAATAAAAACGGCTGGGACCCTTGATTCACTTCAAGATATCCGTGGTATTCGACATACCGGTGTTCGAGATACTGAAGTTTACCTGTATATCGACACATATCTAGATTAATGAATATATCGTATCAAAAACAAGAGGCCCATGGGCCACAACGCTCACCTGAGCACATTGGCTAGGAAAAAGCACAAATCACTTCAGTATTGAAAAGTTTAAAGGGGAGGGGGCTTGGATTTTGAACTACCTGAGGATGCTTCCATATCAATATAACAAATGGCTTTACTGTTCTTGAGCAGAAGATTTTTAAAGATTTTTTTCCTATATATTCCCTTGTTAAAAATTTGATCCCCCATTGTGGACCCTCCCTACCCCCCCCCCCCTTCCATCATTTGAACAAACTTGAATCTACACTACCTGAGGATGCTTCCATATCAATGTGACTAAACATGGCTTTTCTGTTGATGAAAAGATTTTTTCCTATATATTCCTATGTAAAAATTTGATCCCACATTGTGGCCCCACCCTACCCCTGGGGTTTATGATTTGAACAAACTTGAATCTACACTACCTGAAGATGCTTCCATATCAGTATGACAAAACATGACTTTGCTGTTCTTGAGATAAAGGTTTGTGAAGTTTTTTCCTATGTATTCCTATGGAAAACTATGATCCCCCATTGTGGTCCCACCCTACCCCAAGGGGTCATGATTTGAACAAACTTGAATATACACTACCTGAGGAAGCTTCCATATCAATATGACAAAACATGGCTTTGCTGTTCCTGAGAAGAAGATTTTTCAAGTTTTTTTTTCCCTATATATTCTTATGTAAAACTATGATCCCCCATTGTGGCCCCACCCTACCCCCAGGGGTCATGATTTGAAAAAAAACTTGAATCTACACTACCTGAGGAAGCTTCCATATCAGTATGACAAAACATGACTTTGCTGTTCTTGAGAAGAAGATTTTTGAATTTTTTTCCTATGTATTCCTATGTAAAACTTTGATCCTCAATTGTGGCACCACCCTAACCCTGGGGGTCATGATTTGAACAAAGTTAAATCTACACTATCTGAGAATGCTTCCATATCAATATGACTTAACAAGGCTTTGCTGTTCTTGAGAAGAAGATTTTCAATTTTTTTTTCTGTATATTCCTATGTAAAACTTTGATCGCCCCTTGTGGCCCCACCCTACCCCGAGGGGTCATGATTTGATACAAACTTGAATCTTCACTACCTGAGGATGAATCAACATCAATATGACTAATTGTGACTTTGTTGTTCTTGAGAAGAAGATTTTTCAAGATTTTTTTCTACATATTTCTATGTAAAATTTTGATCCCCCATTGTGGCCCCACCCTACCCCTGGGGGTCATGATTTGTAGAAAATTTAATCTACACTACCTGAGAATGATTCCATATCAATATGACTAATTGTGGCTTTGTTGTTCTTGAGAGAAAGGTTTTTAAAGATTTTTTTTCTATAAATTCCCATGTAAAATTTTGATCCCCCATTGTGCCCCCCCCCACCCCGCCCGGGGGTCATGATTTTGTACAAACTTGAATCTACACTACCTGAGGATGCTTCCATATAAATTATGACTAATTGTGGCTTTGTTGTTTTTAAGAAAAACAATTTCAAGATTTGTCCTACATATTTCTATGTAAAACTTTGATCCCCCATTGTGGCCCCACCCTACCCCTGGGGGTCATGATTTGAACAAACTTGAATCTGCACTACCTGAAGATAATTCCATATCAATATGCCTAATTGTGGCTTTGTTGTTCTTGAGAAAAAGATTTTTAAAGATTTTTTCTATATATTCCTATGTAAAACTTTGATCCCCCCTTGTGGCCCCATCCTACCCCTGGGGGTCATGATTTGAACAAACTTGAATCTACATTACCTGAGGATGATTCCATATCAATATGACTAATTGTGGCTTTGTTGTTCTTGAGGAGAAGATTTTTAAAGATTTATTCCTATATATTCCTATGTAAAACTGTGACCCCCCATTGTGGCTCCACCCTACCCCAGGGGGTCATGATTTGAATAAACTTGAATCTACACTATGTAATGAAGGTCTCACCTAAGTTTCAACTTTTACAGCCCAGTGGTTCTTGAGAAGAAGATTTTTAAAAGATATCACTAAATTTTCACTAATTCTTAATTATCTCCCCTTGAAATAGGGTGTGGCCCTTCATTTGAACAAACTTGAATCCCCTTTACCCAAGGATGCTTTGTGGCAAGTTTGGTTGAAATTGGCCCAGTGGTTCTTGAGAAGAAGATGAAAATGTGAAAAGTTTATGACAATGACGACAGACAACGGACAAATTTTGATCAGAAAAGCTCACTTGAGCCTTTGGCTCAGGTGAGCTAAAAATAACTTAATTCCAATACATTTTGGGCAGGCAGTTTTTTTTAGGTAATTCTGTGAAAAACTTGGGAATTTCAATCACCAAAGATTATATTTACCGGTAACTGTTTTGAATTAAAACTGATAAAAATGATATAATCATTAAGGAGGTAGCACATCTTAAATGATTATTACAAAATCATAAAAATACATAGACAACTTTACTTAACATGTTGATTTTACAGTCAAGAAAAGTTTGAATTTGAAGTGTAATTTTTAAAGACGGTGAGACATAAAATTAAAAATGAGTAAAAAAACAATTATTATTTTTATAAAATTCATGCATAATGATTTATAAGACTTTTTGACAGAATTGTTAAAGAATTCAATATATTGCATATCGCATTAAAAAATGTCTTTCTTTTTTTTTTTTTTTTTTGCTCAATACACAGCCCTAGCAAAAATGATATATACAACAAGGACTTTGATTGGATTATTAACATTCATTCGATTGATCATAATTATTAACTGTTATTGCACTTCATTTTCAAAATGTTGTTAGGTACATTGTTTGTTCACTCTTTTGCATTGATATTATAATTTATAAAAGAGTATTTTAGCAGAAAAAATTATCAATTTACCTTTCTTGGAATAAAGACATGTTGACCCTTGAGCTGAGATTTTCTCTCTTTCCATAGATTTGTTACACTGGGGTCCACATGATTCTAGCAGAGACCCTGTAAAAAAGGACTTAACTATGGAAAAGCATGAAGAATATATGCCTATTATACATATCTTAAATTCTAATGAAAACAATGTTTTTTAATTAAGATTCATATATTTCTAATGATTGACATAATACAAATTCAAAATAAAATATCCATGTCTATATTATACACTGTACCTTAAGCAGACCAATTGCATTATTACATCCTTCAGGAGACCAACTTAAATCAATTTTTGAGAACTACTTGTGAGAACAATAAATTTGTCTACTTTACAGTACTAAATGTACATGGAATCTATAGGATCATGTTACTTTAATTGACCTGCCTTAGTTCAACACAGTAATCTAACAAAGAAATTGAGCCAAAACAACATTTTAAGACTTTTTGAACAGTGCATGTTCCTATCATTTCAAAACCATTACCAGTAAAAATGCTAATATAGGAAAATGATGACAATTAATTAATATTGTACTTTCAGGTATATTAGATGAATTAATCTGATTCGTCAAGAAACATTTATTAAAAAGCACTATTATCCGCTGAATAATGAAGCCACGCCCAGTGTCGCAACAGTCAACATTGCTTGACGACGGGTGATATTCCAAAAAATAGTGACTGCGCAGATTTATGCGCTCAAGGTTCACTATTATTTGTATTTGTATAAAACATTCAGTATAATATAATAAATATTGCATGTAGTTGAGTGTAATATTGAAAATTTTCACCCCTCGAAAACCAAATACGTCAAAAAGGGGATGGGTTTCTTTTCCAACTTCTACATAGTTTCGCCCCTGCAAAAACTGGTATAGACCTTGGAAATGTTTAAACGGGCTAAGAGAAATCAAATGCATCAAGAGTACTTAATTGTTTTTACCCAAGTTACATGCCAAAAAAGATTCAGAGAGACGTCACATAAAGTTAACGTTGATTTGAACTGAAGTTAGGGTGTCAAAAGTCATTCACGTCCAAAAGTGACATTGATCATGTGTGGTAGATATTAAACTCCTACGGGCTAAATATGCTGCCATAATCAAGTGAGGATCTTTCCCTAATTCTATATATAAATCCATTTAGTACAATATTATATGCACTTAAGCAGCTGTTTATGACATTGTAAAATTATATAAACAAGACCGGATTATATAATTTATATCAATTTATATAATTAATAATATAATTTATATAATTTTATCAAGATAAGTGTATGGGGTAGAGAGAGCAGACATTGAGAATCAATGTTGTCGGACCTCATGAAACTAAACTAACAGTCTTCCAAATAACCCGGGAGTCCAATGACAGGGACCTGTTAAATTTGCAGCCGGGCATGTAAAAATTGCCAAATTACATGTCTGAAGAGGGCATATGTGAATCTTCTTTCATTGTACAATCTTTACTTGCCATTTACTCTGTCCTACCCCCATTATTCGCTTAAACGTTGCTATATGTAATGTCGATGGATTGCCTGTCTACATTCTCGATACGACCTGTCAAATGATTGTCAATCTAATCATTGAAGTGTTTAGTTTAACCTATTTGTTTTCTCGAAGTTGCTTGCTAAATTACGAGATGTTCATCAATACCACATACTGTGGCACTACAGTCATGATCCCATTTCTGAAATTCAGTTCAGCTAAACCGGCCAACAAATGACCAGCATGCAACTCAAAAGTTATTTATGAACAAAAACGCTTTATAAAATGGCAATCACAGGCCATGGTTGGTTTACGACGCTGAAAAAATTAATATAAAACCTTTATACCTAATGGGTTTTTTTTGTTGCACAATACTGGTAAATGTAAGAATTTTGAGTAGGACATGTACAAATTTGAATGGGCTGGGTAAAAATGATAGGTCTACATGCCCGAAGGGCATGTGCTGAAAAAGAATTGTTGTGAAGACTGAACTTAAGCGACAGCGCCGGGTGATCATATAAAGTCCCCTTTATTACATAATAATTTGGCAAATTATCAACACATCAAGCTAAAATTTCCAACGGTGAGAATTTTTATTTTTTAAGTTGAAACCTCGTGACCTGTGAAAAAATGAAATTTGTATCCCATCTAAAGTCTTAAAATGTATCAAGGTAATTTTTGATACAAATTTGCGGTTGGGGTTGTAAATGAAGGATAAAACCAGAGACCTCGGAATGGAATACTCGGAAGTCTCTGGTTTTATTCTACCCCCAACTGGAAGTTGTATCCCATCTAAAGTCTTAAAATGTATCGAGGTAATTTTCGTGGAATAAATGAGTGCTTTACAATAAAGAGACTCGACCAGAGACGTCTGAAACGATTTATTTGACAAGAAAAAAGTCTCTTGAAGCGAACAATGTCATTTTAAAGTACGTTAATGATTGATAATGATACATGAACAAAATACGAGCTTGAAGTGGGGGTGCCTGAAATTGAGTTAGATACCTTGTGGTAAAAATAAGTAGGGGTGCACCGTATATGAAACAAGTGCCTGTGATTGATAGTCTGAAATTTCTCTTCACCTAAATATTAAAAGCTTGCAGTGATCGCTATAAATCTATACAACAGTCAAGTTACATATGGTAAACTAACATAAAAACAAGATTACAACAGTCATGATTACAGAAGGTATATTTTGAAGACTCTAGGTCAGTAGGTGAATGTAAACAGGTAAACACACGTGGGACAGTCACCGCAAATATGAACCACAAAACGACTTATAACATTAAAATGTAAATATTCATCTGCACACAGATTTTGCATAATAATAATAATTTTTAAAAGTGTAAATTAAAATATAAAATAAACAAACCTCAAACCTTGTAACAAGGCTTGTTTCCCTACAATCTTATTCTGGTTCTCTGTGGTTCACTGAAAATGCAGGGAACCAGGATGCGTTATTAACTCGTACACAGATTTGTTGATACGAATAAACCTATAAACATATATATATACGAAATAAAATATTATCGTAAAAAATGAAGAATTTCAAATTGCTTGAAAAATTATCTTTATGTAGTTTATAATAAATGGTTGTAATTGTTTATTAATTTCTATCTATCCATTAAAATTTGATACGTATATCAGCTTAATATGTATCCGTCTGAACAATTATTGTTATTACACTCCCTGTCACATCTTCATAGTTAAGCCTGTAAGCATGGTAAGTAGGAATCAATTTCAGTTGAAGGGGACCAAAACCAAACATTTTTCAGTTTCATTTGGTGGGGAGGGGGGGGGGGTATAAACCTCATATGATTATTTTATCTCTGTCACTGAACTGCTGAAAATAATGAAGGGAACTAGACTGCGAGAATGATTTGTTTACAGAATTAAAATACGAAATAAATTATCATACATACGAAATAAAATAATTTCATGAGAAAATGAAGAATTTCCAATTGCTTAAAAAAAAGAAGCTTTTCATGTATGTGATTTACAATAAATGGTTGTACTTTTATATTTTCTATATATCCATTAAAATTTCACAGTATCAGTATTTCACTATTTGTAAACATTAACAATAATATTAAATAAATGTTACACTCACTGTGGCTTTGACTGAGTTACTGTCACATCTTCATAATTAAACGAGAATATTCCCTTCCGTAAATATTGCTATATATATCTGAACTGTTACCAATTCATCTTTCTTTGGTGAAAGAAAACCTCAGGGATGGAGAATAGGCCCGTACGTAATTTAGTTGGAGGGGGGGGGGGTGAGCACAACCAAACAACATTTTTCAGTTTCAGTTTGGGGGAGGCTACAAACCAAAAAATTTTTAATAAGCAAAAGAAAAATACATTGTCAGAGTTTATTATTGAGGGGGCCCAAAAGCAAAAGAAAAATAGATCATCAGAGGTTATTATTGAGGGGGCCCAAGCATAAAGGAGCAATGTTTTCTATAGTATACCTAAATTTCAGCAAAATTACAGGGGGCCTGCCCCCTCCCCCCGTTCCTTCAGCCATGTATTGTATCAAATCTGCTTCACCCTGATTCAGATTTTTTTTACAGCATATATATTCTATTAGCAGAGGACCACATTATATTAATAAACAATTATTAAATTACAGCTATTTTTTTCTTACAGGGTCTGTTTATATTCATTTATACTATATCATGATGATCATGTCCTGCATGATGTTTACAGAAAGTTTAATTTAAATTTTTAAGCTCGAAATAGCTGCGTCAACTTGCGAGACTATTTTTTCAACGCTCGGCCTAATCTCTAAATATTTAATTTGTTTGTGGACTTGCATAAAAGAATTAAAAAAATATAGGGGCCTATCATTTAACTTTATTTCGAATTTCCTTCAGGATTTTATATACCGAACTATAGTCTAACGATTATTTAAAATCATACTTTTTCTCTTGAAAGCTAAATTACTAGGCAAAAAAAAAAAAAAAAAAAACAACAACAAAAAAACCAAACGAATGTTTGTCTTGTGTATTCTTAATTACAACTTATTACTGTATCATTTTAGTTACTTACCCAAATTTCTCAACATCCATGGTGTTCAGAGGTCATTTTCTGAAAACTGAAGGGGCATTCCGATGGCATTCGGAACAAATGACGGAAAGCACTTGCTAAGAATTCAAAACATGGTTCATAAATTTACAATATTTTTCCTTTTTAGGTTTTTAACATAAAACATGGAAAACTAAGTTAAAGAAACACTCATTTGAACAAATCAAAAGCGGAAAAAATATATATGCTAGATTTTTTGTTTAATTGCATGTTTTTCATGGTCTCCAAAATGCAGAAAAATTATCCTTTGAAATTATACGTAGGTTATAAATTCTTTTCTTTTTTAGGGAAGATGATAGAAATTAGACAACTTTTGAATGTTAAATAACAGAGTTAAAGATTAATAATATTTAATGGCAGACTGTTTATTTATCTATAAAAAGACATTTGCAATACTGATGAGGTCAAAATAATAGGGAGACCGAAAAAGGTCGCCTTAATCCAGTGGTCTCCCTAAGCCAGAAAATATATCCTCCTTGGTCTCCTAAAGCCATATGTCATATATATATATATATATATATATATATATATATATATATATATATAGATATATATATATAGATATATATATATATATATATATATATATATATATATATATATATAGATATAGATATATATATATATGTATATATATATATAGATATAGATATATATATATATATATATATATATATATATATATATATATATATATATATATATATATGTATATATATATATATATATAGATATATATATATATATATATATATATATATATATATATATATATATATATATATATATATATATATATATATATATATATATATATATATATATATATATATATATATATATATATATATATATATATATATATATATATATATATATATATATATATAACATTTCTTTTGTTTTACATGAATGACTGATTTCACATGGTTTACGGATTTTCACATGAATTACTTTTACTAGCATGATATTCTGATTTTTAAATGGTATTTCTGAGTAAGTAAATGAGGACTATAATCTATTAAGAGGCAGTCCACCGAAAAACCAGGCAGTATTGTATTAATAGGCGGCACATCGAATGTGAGGAATATTTGATATTTTATTAAAAACAATATCAATGTAGCCCAAAAGGAATAATGTAATTGAAGATTTGTTTGATAATTGCTTATTTAGTAAAATATCCTTGTGTTTTGTGTTTTTGAATGCCCCTATATAAACCATTGAATGTAGGTCAGAAACAAAGAGCTGTAATTTCTAATACATTTTTAACAGGACTATAATTCACATTTAACTAAATCTAGAAATATTTCAAATTTTTGTTTAAAAAATAAAATCGGTGGGAAAAACACCTTTGATAGTAGTTTTCTGGCAAAATATAAGGACGTTTTTATGAAATTTTACGATGCAACAGTTATCTCCCGTGGCATCGGTAAATCTGCTCAACACCTTTTTATCGGAATCCTGGTGAAATATTTAGAATCGATACACTAAAGAAAATAATTAAACAAAAAACTAAATAATTTATTTTCAAAATATAATTCATTTTCGCCTCCAGACGTAATATTTAGATTAAAATTGGCTCTATTATTCAGGTTGAATCCACGTTTCCATTGATGTATCAGTGACGTCATATACCTGACTAATATTGCGTCACAATGAAATACAATGTAGTTACAAGTTTCCAGAGAAGTTTGTAAATTCTTTGCGTAAAAGATTAAAAAAAAAAATGATTTCTCTTTTTCTTTTTAATTACTCTTCAGAGTGCATTATTCTAAATGTTAAATAATATTTTAATATCCAAATGTATTTTATACACGGGCGGCGTCTCAGATAGATGACGTTTTGATAAGTAATTTTATACATGTCTGAGAACTATTTTTTTTAAACTGATTTACTAGGATATGCGTAAAAATAATTAATGAAGTGTTTATCATGAACATTTCTTATAAAATTGGGAATCAATGATGAATGTTTTAGATTTACGCAATACTTAATTCAACGAAGTTGAAATGTTTACTTCATGATATTTGTAAAAACTTAAATATATTTATCCATGCAGTCAAATCAAAATAAACAATCCGAAGTACGATTAAAAATGAAAAAAAAAACCCTGAAAAATAAGTTATAAAAATATATGTATTGAGTTAAACTACTGCTGAACTCCCCATTATAATTTGGCACTAAAACGGAAGATGGTTTAGTGAAACATTTCGGTTTTTTTTTATTTTACTTATCCAATTTTTTAATTTGGCGATTGAAACAATCACACACTCTCATTTAATATGGAGTTTAAACATGTGACTATGTTGGCCAATTCTAAAATGTTTTCACGTTCATGAAACCAATTTTTAAAAATAATGATGTCATGACACCCCCCCCCCCCCTGCTTTTTGCTTGCGATTTATCGGCTCTTGAATAATGATACTATATATGAAAGAACTTATTTTCTTATTTATATAAAATCAAATTATGTAAAAGAGGAAAAGGCTTTACAGATGATAGGTAAGAAAAAACTTGGATAAAGTCGAGACTGTACACATAAAAATATATTTCCTGTATTTAGGCAAGTTTAATTTCGCCACTGATAGAATTTACTCTTTAATTCCTGAGGAAATAAAAATTAAAGGGGGAGTTTCGATAAGGCTGTTTTTCGGCCCCTCAGGAAATATAATGAAATTGTGATATGTTGTAGATTAAAATGTTATCTTCCTAAAAATATGAAAAAAAAATTATACTGCACATTATCTGGTCACGTGATAATTAAAAATTTAAGTATACCCTCTTTCCTATATTTTTGGAGAGATCATATTAAAAGGGGGTAATGGAGTTAATTTAACGTCAAAATCATAAATGAAATATTACAAATGTGAATAAAGACATCAAATAACCAATTTCAATATTTTTCTTTACAGAAAATTAATGATATTTATTTTATTTGAATGCGTTTTAAGGTGCAAGATTTTTCTCGTGTTTTAATTGTAACTCTTCTTTCAAAGAGGATGGATGTAACATTTAAAACGTATATGAATAATAAAGACAGGAATTTTCAAAAAATGAATTAATCGACAGTTTATACTTAAACTTAATAATCAATATATATCATTTTCCCGTACGTAGAAAAGCAAATGTAAAGATATATAGACAAGAAATAGATAAACTTAAACTGTCATTGACAGGTGTTTGACACTGCTTGCAACACAATTTTATCAACTGAAGTTATTGTGCTAAATATAGTATTAATAAAATGTACCATAATATCATTAAATTGAATTTTAAAAAAAATCTTGAAATTAACAGATTTCGGAATTCGGTACGATTAAAAAATGCAGCTATTTATATTTTTAGAGTATATTGAAAAGAAT